TAGAAGGAGCAGCAGTCGAAATCCAGTCTTTGATCCACCATTCCACGCTCCTTCAGGTCCTTAGGGTACAAGTCGTCGTCTTTGGCATACTTGTTGTTGAGGTAGCGCAGGATGGCTTTGCTGTTCGAACGGCGATACATTTTCAGTGAGCAAAGAAAATGAATTCGGTGGAAACTTGGGATTTCATACCGCGTAAACATGAGGATTACCTTTCGTGGAGGATGTATCCGTCGTCGTCCATCGTTGGGATCGTGTAATGTGGATTCATCTGCAGAAACATGGAAACCCATCCTTCAATATTGCGAAAAGTGATGAAAAAGCACGCGAGTCGAAACAATCGAGGCATCTAAAAGCTACAAGTGAAGAAAGAACCTCATTCAGGCGAGATGAGTGGGCCTTCACTCTAAAGAGCTCTCTTTCTCCCATAGGAGCCCATGGATTCCTAACACCGTGCGGATCACGAGAATTGTCGTGTTTCGCCAGTCTGGCGTTGAGAACGGGACACGAGAATCTTCGTGTTTCGTGTCCGCGTGTAAACTCTTGCCATCTGCAGTCTTTTCCTTGTGCTTCGTGGTCTGTAATGTTTATTGTGCATGCCACAGATATGTAAGGTTTCTTTAGATCCAATTTAATCTGCATATTTATCTTTTTGTTGCTTTGATCGTCTTTATTAAGTGCATGCCGGCATTCTGCTCTAGCGTCACTGAAAAACGTTCGGGAACTGGGGATGATATCGCTTCAGCACACCCGGTCTGCAACGGGTTAGCCCATCGAGCGGTATGGCCGTACCGGTACGTCCTGCATCTTCGAATTCAAATTGCCACATTTTTTACAGATGCGGTCAGTTTGAGCTTAAACTTGGAGCTTCCTGAATACATCTCGCCTTATTCGGTCCTGCCATCTTCAAACTAGTACAGTAAGCAACAGAGAAAAAAATTAAATACTAACTTTGGGTGGTTTAACCCTTTGGGGTCCGAGTATTTTGGTTTCGGCGACATTAATCATCCGAAAATCATTTAGAAAATTTAGGCCGATTCGAAGGGTGTTATGCATTCGGCACATCTCGAGCGAAAAAAGGATGTCGGCAATAATTAAGAGACATTTTAGAAATTACTTAATGGACGTACAGTAAAATATTGAGCCATTCATGAGAGTTAGACCCACTTTGCAACATAGGCCTACCAAGAATCTGAGCTGTGAGAAAAGAGAATTTCTTCCCGTATTACGAACACCATCGGTGAGCTCAGCCTCCTCGAAATTCCTTTTCTTCATCGGCACGATCCACTTCCGCGACGTCAGCCGTTTGAGAACCTTCACGTTCGCTGAAAAAGCCAAGCAAAGCCTGAAATCCCATCCCCCTCGCGAAGAAGTCAGACCTCGATCAGTCAGAAGCAGGGCAACCGGCCCCCGCTCGCGACGAGAGGCCCAACGATGACCGAAAGAGCGAACTCGTCGTGAACGCCGCGAGCAGACGTCCTCCGTGACGTCATCGGGTCATCGTGGATGGCGGCTCTCTTGCACGCGCAGGTGGCTTCATTCCGATCTCGACCTGCGTCCTGGCGTGAATGCAGGTGTTTGATGGTGGCGGGCGTCTCGATTGCGATTTGGGTCCAGTCTTGATTTGGGGCCACCGTTGCTTCATGGTCAAAGGAAACAGGAGGCCGGTAACTTATCCCTGTGATGAATTCACTCGTGGAAAGCGAATCGAGTCAAGATGTTCTCGGACCCTCGACTCAGCTCGCGGAGATCCGAAGACTCGCCGAGGAGTACTTGCAATCTGTAAGGAGCGAAGGGTAGTTCCTAGCTCATCGTTAACTCGTTCTTGACTGGGAAGTATATGCCCAGGCCTGACGTTTGGCGCATGTTTAGCTAGGCCCGTATAGCGTTAGGCTCAGCTTGCTCATGTAGTCGACTGAAACTTTTCGGACCGTTGCAAGCAGCTGAAAGCAAAACGTATTTATTTGTTGCGTGAAGTAAGTTTAAGATGTTGAGCTTCCAGGTCATGTTACAGAGCCCTAAAGAGGACATTGAGGTTGTGGCTCTTCCTAGGGGCATCTATGGATCATGAGGAACCAAAAGGAGAAGAAAACCAAACTAAAACACTCTTTAAATCCTGAAGTAATTTACTTGATTTCTATGAGAAACATAAGTCCAAATAATTCTAGATGTTTTCTTGCAGAAAGTCAAGCACTTATTTTAATTATCTTACTACATCATTATTGAGGCTACATAGTAAATTGCAGATTTATTGTCACTTTTCATGTCATGCTGAAGGGCCTACCACAGTAATCTGCTTACTTACAAAAAGTCAATTATGCTACTCTTTCAGACCTTTTTTGAGCAGGTGATATGGAGTGTTACTTTCAACTCCATTGGAATATATTGTGCATTATTGCTTCTAAGAAGGCAATAACACAAGGTGTATTTCATTGGATGGGCTGAAAGCCTGGCATGCATCTTGCTTTTCAGATTCATTTATATATTACTGCCCTATTGCTTTGTCTCTTTGATCCAGCCTAGGCCTACTTAAAAGAGCATATGCTTAAACAATTTGCTTGCTTTGTTCCCTTATAGCATCAAATCCAGAGTGCCATCTTCTGGGCGGACAAAGCCGTCGACCTGTCGGACGGCGACGTCAACGATGTGTACTTTCTTGCTCATTGCTACTACTTGAACAAGGAATTCTATAGAGCAGCACACCTCATGGATTCATGGAAGTCAACACATGTGAGTCTTTTACCCTGACCCTATGGCAAAGAACTGACAGTTATGTGCCACTTGGTATCACTGGCCATTATACTTATAGATTTAATTGTATCTTCCTTTTTTAGGCAGACAAGAGGTGCTGCTACCTTGGAGCACTCTGTCTCTTTGAATCAGGAGATCCTCAAGGGGCATTGAATATTTTGGACGCTTCTTTCATTACTCCCTCCTCCTCCAGGAGCCTCAAAATTATGCCTAGGGTATGAATTGAAATTTTATGACTCTTATGTCTACTGCCCATGGTAATGATTGTGATTCACTGCAACAAGTACAGAAGGTTTCTTAACTGCTTCTTCCTATGATCAGTTTATTGTATTTCTGAGAGTTTGAAAGAACTGTGAACCAATATTGACTAGCAGATATAAAGAAGAGTGTGTTGATTATTTAGAAACAGTTTTCTAGTTTCAGGTCATCATTCTCTAGTGTATCCAAACTATTTTTACTCCTTTGAATTTGACACATTTCCAAGGTGATTCCATTCCTGGCACACAGGGAAGTGTACCATATGTGATCTAAGTAATCATATCTGACTCTAAGACCCACTGGAAATTGTGCCAACTCTTGTGAAAATTCTCTAATTCTGTAGGTCTCTTCTTTCTTAGCTAAATAGCAGTTGGAGAGTTCTACGGGGGAAATGCCTGGAAGCAATAGGAAACAAAGATGCTGGAGTCCAGGAATACAAGGTGGCCCTGCAAGAGGATGTAACTTGCATAGATGCCTTGCAAGCATTAATGGCATCTCGTCATCTCACACCAGATCAAGGTTCCTCTCGTTCTCATCCCCTGTGGTCTTCGTGTGATCACGTGTTTTCATGGTTTCCGTCTCCTTCAGAGCAAGATTTGATCGAGTCCCTCGACATGAAGAAGTGCTTTGGCACGGCCTTGGGAGACATGGGAGAAAGCTTGTACCTGGTGGAGTTGAGTCGACATGGAAAGCAGAACAAAGAAGAAAACAAGGGTGATGGGATGCCACCTCCACTCTTGTCAGTCCCTTCATCACTGCAACCTCTTTTTGACAAAGGAAACATTGACCTGAAGACCATCTTAGCTGCCCGGCTTTTCCACCATGCCCATCCTGCCCAGGCTCTTGAGCTCACACAACAGTATGTTTTCTTTCTATCAGCAGTTCATCACGATTGGTAGAATTCAAAAGCAGGATTGGGTACATTGTGTTATGTATATCAAGTGTAATCTCATATATGGAATTTTGAGTAATGAATGAATTTTCATGAAGTTTTATTGATTTTTGCTCTCAAGTTACAGTAAGTTTGGTTAATACTTGATTGTACTCAAGGAATTCAGTTTTGATGGGTAAAGTTTTTTTTTGTATCCATGTAAAATGCTAATCATTTTGAAAATGGTGCTCAAGGCTAAACAATTTTTCATTTGGTGATGAGTGGGTTTGTAACCAATTATAAAATCATGCATCATTTTTTTTTTTTGCCTTCTGTCTACATATAGATTTTTTTTCCAAGGAAAGCAGTTTTTTATATTGAATATATTTTCAGCTTGTCAAAATATGAGGCCAATTTTTCAAGATCTCCAAACCTTGCTTCCTAAATGGCATTAGTGACTAACCCAAAGTCACATGAAGGAGAGTTTTATGCTTATATAGGAATATTTTGAGTCACAGTTCAATTCCCATATTCAAAGTGAACCAAGATCCCAATGTGGTAACTAAACTTTAAAATGATTGCCATCAAGAAATCAACTTTTCATCCAACACATCCCCTGTGAACCCCTCATCTTCACTTTTGATGTATGTCTGGCAGTGCTTGTGTGCTGAAGTGGTCAGACATTAATCATTTGACTTACTTTTGATTATTTTTTTATTGCTTAAACCAACTACTTTCTTTATTTAACCCTTTGGGGTCTACACCCAAGTTATCTCGTGTTGGCCTCATGAGGAGGGGATGGAAAAAAACTTGATGACTTACCCAAAATACTCGGACCCCAAAGGGTTAAACATCCAAAGTGAACTCACCTTGAAAAAACTCAAAATTTAGTTGCAATTCATTATTCTAATTTTATGTCTTTTTTTTTCTTTTATCTTTAATCTTACAGTTAAAGTGCCTTTATCTTCCTTCTCAAAACCTGATCAACCCATTGAGCAGTGTGGCCATACCGGTATGGCTGTGCACTCCTGGTCCTGCAGGAGTGTGACTGTACTGGTATGTCCTGCATCTTCTAATTCAAATTGGCACATTTGTACAGGTGCCATCGGTTTGAGTGCAAACTTGGAGGTTCCTGAATATATCTTGCCTCATTCAGTGCTGCCATCTTCAAGCTAATACAGAAAGCAACAGAGAAAAAAATTAAATACTAACTTTGGGTGGTTTGTGAGAGAGGGTTTTCAGTGTGGCTCTCTCACTGACTGATGCCCATTCCATTTAGAAAATTAAGCAGATGGAGGTGTACTCTTGATTTTCAATGACAAATCTGGAAACCCTGGAACTGGCAATAAATTGATGACAAAATGTCTCACGTGTAAGGTGTTGATGGATAAGAAATGGCTTGTACCAAGTGACATTACATGACAAACTCCCTCACAGGAAATGAGAAGGAAAAGGGGATTAAATCACTTGCTTCTTCAGTATTTCACCTTTTTTTTAGATTTTATCAATTCATTCTTGGAACTTTTCTTCAATATCAAAATTTAATTATCACATTATATTTCTAACATTTCACTATTGTTTTGTAATAATAAATACCACACCCTGTAGCACTACTGATTACCAAAGATTATTGATGTTGAATTAAAGTTATTTTGACATACTTTCAAGGTAAAAACTGTTTATGTTTATGTAAGTAAAAAATTCTGGGCTGGAGCCCATCAGCAAAAAAACTCATCCCTGGGAGCATGGCCAGTCAGAAAAAAAAACTCATCGCTCAATTGGTTAAAGATCATTTATAATGATCAATGATTGCAATTAACCTTACCTATACCTGTAGCCTGTAGCCAAACTCATTTGTGGGGTAATTGAAGGGACGAAAAATCAATTATCAATGTAATTGAGGTTTGTTGACATTGACTGCTAAGTGTATCACCAGTGAAACATTTTGCATGTTCAAATTTCTGCTTGGCAGCCTACATATTAAAAACAAGGTTTCACTTTGAAAAGTCATGGAAATGGATCAGCCCAGAAGATCATGTTCCAGACTAATACCATCTACTCATCTAATTAGTTTTCTATCAATTTAATGGTCTTTACTCCCTGTTCCATCACAAAAGCTTGCATTAGCATATTTTGTACAGGAAAAGTGGGGTGCATGGGATGTCTGGGACCTTATGCATTTCATCTGTATTTTCCTTCTATTGCTTCTCATTTGAAGAGTGGGAGTTCATACCCCCTCATAAGACCTTCCAAGAATGCAGATTCCAGCAAAAAAGAGAGTTTTTTCAATGGTCATGGGCACAATGGGATTTCCAGTTAATGAAAAGCATCAGTTGATGACTCCACAATGTTGTCAGTTTTTGCAGTGGGACAAAAATGACTTCGCATTCACTTAGCTCACAGTGAGTTAGGCATGAATTTGGACGTATTTGGGTATTAACGCCTGGGGATCAGGCCTCATTCATTACCATGATCAAGGTCTAATTATAATGAAAACTGATATGAGAGGAATTGACTACCATTTACTCTTACAAAAACTGACATTTGAACCTTAAGCTCCTCCCAACCACAGTAAATAACTAATTTTCCTTCTTTCCCCATCAGTTGTGGAAGTCTTTCTTCTTTGATGTAAAATAGGGAATAAGGTATTCATATAGAAATTTGATAAACATATTTGATCTTGGTTCACTTTAGGGTGCTCTGAATATCAGCGCTTAACTCTGTGGCCCAAAGTACACCTATTCAGACGTGAAACTCTTATTCATGTGGCCATGCATTGGTCATTTATTCAGAATTTGGTCACCATTTGGCCTCACCACACTCTGAATTGATGCCAACAGACCAAGATGGAATCAGTAAATGATCATTTTCAACTTGGGCTTGTTATATGTCTTTTGTATGTGAAGGGTGAATGAGGCTTCCAAATGATGGTCCTTTTTCCAAGGTTTGCTATTTGCCTTAAAAGGGGGAATGCCTGAATATGAACTCCTGGAAAAGGGTGGTGATGAGATGGGTATTACATGAAGGACTCTCAATATAGAAGTGTGAGAGAGAAGGGAATGAGGACAAAAGTTCATGAAAAGCAAAAGGCTCTAGGGTACCAAAAATCATTTCAGGGATTTCTGGATTGAATGGAGCATTTAAAGATTCACCCTTTTGAGGCCTTTGCCAGCCCATGCATTTCTTCTAGACCTATGGAAAGTTCAAAGTTAAGATCCTCTGAATTACCAGAAACTTGCTGTTCTCATCCTCATCCCTAATTTTATTTGCATTCTTTTTTCTTGCTCTTTAGAGTTCTCAAGAAGGATCCTTATCACATGGGAGTCCTTCCAATCCACATTGCATGTTTAGTTGAATTGAAGAAATCTCCAGGTGAGTGGACAGTCCCTTATGAATTCTTGCCATCCACATTCTGCCTGTAATTATTTTTTATAACCTTCTTGGTCTCTGGAGAAACAGATGGAATTGAAAGATTGAACAGGTAATGAGCTCATTGCATCTGGTATTCATGGTACTAAGAATTGCAAATTTACTGCAGTCTGAATGAGGACCTTTTCTGATGAACAGTGATGAATTCATATGCTTGGCATCTTCCTCAAAATTATTTATATGAATTTTGCATTACCAAATATTTTGAAGGACTTACAAAGTATATTGCAACTAATGGGACACACTGTAAGCCAGGAATGACAAATGATGTAAAACCAAACAAGTGTTGATGATATATGTTGCACAAGATGTATGTCCAGTCCTTGTTTTTGGAGTTCCTCTATATTGCTTAACCTAATTTAATAAAAGTTCAAGTAAAGGGTTTTCTTCATTTGGATTTTCTTTACTCAGATCTCTTCTACCTTGCTCATCAATTGGTGGATCAGTTCCCAACCCAGGCAGAGTCTTGGTATGCAGTTGGTTCCTACTATTTTGCAATAGGTTTGCCACATCCTCATTTCTATTTCTTTATGTAGGAAATGAAACACTTATTAAAAGGCCTTTCATTGAAATCTGTTATAACATAGGTAAGTATGAGATTTGCAGGAGGTACCTCCAGAAAACAACATCTATGAAAAAGTCTCTGGGTGAGGCCTGGCTACTATATGGGCATGCATTTGCCTCAGAGAGTGAGCATGATCAAGCGATGGCTGCCTACTTCAAAGCATATCAGTCAATGAAAGGGTGGGTTTCCGGAACTCTATATATTCTCGTTTCTCTTAATGCGATAAAAAAAATTTTACCACTTTCCTTCTACTTGCATAGGTGTCACCTGCCACTACTTTATGTGGGACTGGAGTATGGCCTGACCAATGCTCCAAGGATGGCTGAGTCTTTCTTCAAGCAGGCTTTGGATATAGCACCTTGGGACCCATATGCTCTGAGTGAAATGGGAAGCATTGCATTCCACAGTGGACAGCATGAGAAAGCAGAGCGACTGCTACGGGAAGCTCTGGTGCAAGTGGAAGCTTCTTGTGAGAAGCACCCCATCCCAGACACCTGGGAGCCCCTTTTCAACAATCTAGGTCATGTGTACCGGAAGCTGGTCAAATATGATGAGGCACTTCAGTATCACTCAAAAGTAAGAGCCCCTCATTTAGCCACACTGTATGGAGCAGGGGGAGGAAGAAAGGAATAGTGAAAAATTATGTGAGTGAATTTTTGACCAGAGAATAGAACCACACTGAAAAGGTGGCCCTCATGTTTTGCAGGCATTGCTGCTGAGGCCTCGCAACGCATCCACTCTCTCAGCCATCGGGTTCATCCATGCCCTGAAGGGAGAGATGAATGAAGCCATAGAATACCTGCATCGTGCACTTGGATTGAGACCCGATGACACATTTTCCACGTCGCTCCTCAATACTTGCTTGGAGATTGTCCTAGCCAGTGACTCTCTGAGTCAGTCCCCATTACTTCTCATGTTATCAACTTTTCTGAAAGCTTCAGCTCTATGGCTGTGTAAAATACCCTATATTAATTACTGTTATGTTGTCTTGTCAAATGGTTTGGTTTTCTTATTTTAGAGAACTGACAAGGTTCCCAAAAATCAAGTTGACATAGTTTATATGGCATAGTTGATGTTGGATGACAGGGACAGTGGTACCAGGTGCAGAGACACTCATTGCCACTTGTTAATGTGATCGTGTTGGAGGTTAGTTGATGTCTAGGGGGATGTTGTGCTATGAGTCTGATAGGTTTATGACAGGGTTGATAGTTTGTGGGTGTGCTGGCAGATAAAATTCTCATGGAAGTAAAGGAGTATTGCTTTCTGTGCTTGATACTCTGGCAGGATATTCCAGAAAATCTTTTGCAACAGTGAATGTTGATTCCTTGGCTGGGATGATCTTGAGCCTTCCACTCCTATTGCCTTGGTTACCTTAGCTACTGTTCTTTCTGAAGGCTGTATTAAGTGCTAGCTGTGTGGAATCCTTCCACATCTGAAGAATTACTTGTGATGTCCTAAAAGGGTCAAGGTTACCTCTGTCCATTTTGGGTTAGGGATGTCATTTCAGCCCTGAATTTTTCCTAGAGTCTGCACACTGAACTCCATCATTATTTCCAATATTGAAACTTTTCTTTTTCTTTTCCATGTTTTGGTAACCTTGAGCAAAAAAAACAACCTTTTATGCCAACCAGCAATATCAATGATTCACAAAAATGATAATGGCAAGAACTTTTCTGCATCCTGCAGCCTTCGTCAGCAATTGATCATTTATTGGAACCTCATAATATGATGTCTCCATTTCAGATGTCTCGTGTTCTTTTGTTTTGTTGTGGAAAGCCATTTCTTTTGAGTATGGGATCACTATTCTCCTGGATTATCATTGTTTCTTCTCCAGCTTACCTCACATGTATGCTTCTGTCATAAGGTGGCAATATTTTGGAATAGTCCAAGGTGATATCCTCATGACTTTGGGATATTTTAGAATGTTTCTTGAAGCTGCGTGTGATGTTGGTCATCAGTTGCAAGAGGTTTGTAGATGTCTGAGGAGGTTTTGTATGTTTCCAGACCAACAATATCAGAATCATCTTGGAGAGTAGGAGCTGTTGCAGGCAAGAGTCTCTGGACTGTTCCTAAATGTGTCCCCTCTGAACTGGTTTGAAATGTCAGAGAATTTGGAGATAGGTGTATCAAGCTAGCGTTTGACTCTTACAGGGAACAAGAAGTATGATGCAAAGTGAGTTGGAGATGTAGAGAGACAGCATGCAATGCTTGATTGGGGCACTTGTGGTGCAATAGGTTAAACATTATTGGGAAAGCCTGTTCTGGCCTTTTATGATGGGAAGACCTTTATTTTTCATTCAGATATATCCACAATTTATTTTGGATTGAAGGATCTGAATGAAAACCATGATTTGTGAGTCATACGAGGGTCAGTCAATAAGTTCTGAGACCCCCTCATCGAAAAGTGAAGAGTCATCTTAGCTAATACTTCTATTGTGATCCTTCAAAGTACTCTCCAAGGCAGTCTACAACTTGTTGGCACCTATGTGGAAGGGCTAGAATGCCTCCGTCCAGCCCATTTTGTTGTATATCTCTCAGCTTCTCAGAAACGGCCATGTTGACATGAGACAGTGGACCTTGCTTGATCAACTTTGGCTGCTTCTGAACTTTAGCTGGCCGCAACCTGTGACTCAGAACCCCATCAGTACAGGTTGATGTTGACAGATTCAGCAGGTGGTACAACGTAATCCAGCAGAATCCTCTTACAAAGTAGTTCAAAAGCAGCTAGAGTTGATTGAGTAAGGTTCACTGTTAATTCATGATGACGCTGGTCCTCACGGGGCACGTATTATTGTTACGCAACTAGCTGAATGGGACTGGGAATTGCTGGCTCACCCTTCTTATTCACCAGACCTCTCCCCCCCAAACTTCCATCTATTCCCAAAACTCAAAGAACTGCTTCATGACATCCACTATCAATCCGTGGCGGATGTCAACATGGCCGTTTCTGAGAAGCTGAAAGACATACAACGAAATGGGCTGGATGGAGGCATTCT